CTGAAAAACTACTACAAAGATCTCTATCGGTGCCAGGGGGTAATACAGCTTTGTTTTGGTTGCCAAGCAGTTCACTAGAGACATCAAAAAGTTCCTTACAAGTTTTAACATTTTCAAATTTTAACAAAAAGAAAGTACGCTTGGCTTTGGTAATCATTTTACTAACAGAATTCTTCATAGTAATAAATATTCCCTTATGCACTTCAAGTCGTGTTTTTCTCCATTTTCTTTCCGCTTGTCTTTTTTCTTTTTTTGCAGCCTTTATTTCTAAATTAAACCACCTACCAACAGGTCGATGAGATAATTTTCGTTTTTTAACTGGAGCATGATCATCTAAAATATTCCTCATGATGGTATTGAGGGTTTCTATATTAAAAGGGGAACTAATAGCAAGAGCATCACGAAAGTCACATTGAAACTAGTGTAAATTTATATCGTTCAGATTTCGGGAATTAACTGTTTTTATTTCTTTCCTTGGTCTTTTGATGTTCAAGTCAACAATAAGAAGATAATGATCGGAAATGTCTTTGTCCAGAACGTTTATGCCTTTCACACAGTTCTTTTCAATAGGAGAGATAACCCAGTCTAGGATGTGCTGACTCTTATGTGTTGGTACTTGTACGAGTTGTTTTAAATCATTTTCTGTCAGCAGATTGCTTATATTTTTAGTGACAGGGTTTTCAGAGCCAAAATGAAAATTAAAATCGCCAGTTATAAGATGGCGCTGCAGTCTGTTTTGAAGCTTTCTTTCGTTTTTCCAGAAGAAGAATAGGAATAGCACCTCCTTGCGTGCGCAGATCGACTGCTGTTCATCAGCAGTTCGAGTTCGTTCAGTGTGGAGTTTTAGTTTTTTTTAAATATTTTAATGACCTCTAGCCTTTCATTCTAAAGTCAAATTAAACGAAGAAAACAATCACCCTTTCCTCCGGAAGAGGTTTTTTGTCAGTGTAACCATTTTAAAAAAGCGTTCTTCCGAAATTTATTAAAAAACATGCAAGTTTCACTTTGATTTTTTAAACTCAAGTGGGGTAACTCTGTTCGTAAAAGGTGCGCTTTTGCGAAGAGGGCGCCACCGAATTTTGAGGACACTTTTTTAATGGCTCAAAGAGAGAAGTGGCCCCTCTTGTTATGTAGACTCTTTGCTGGTAGTCAATGCAACTTTATTGATAGGAAGTGCCTATTTGCAACGCCGCGTTGCGATTAGCGCCAGTGCTATTTGCAACGTGGCGTTGCGATTAGCGCCAGTGCTAAATAAAACGCCGTGTCGCCGTGTGTCAAATATAAAGTTTAATCTGCACTTCGTTATCGGAAGTTCTGATGGCCGAAGTGACAGCGCGTGTGCCCTTGAAGTCAAATCATTATTTTTTTTAGCGTGGGTTCGATCCCAGTCCTGGACGTTTTTGTTTTTGTTTTCGTTTTTTGTTGTTGTTTTTGTCCTCTTCTCGACTGACCAACAAATTGTTCCCATAATTATATCTTGTTGCTTTGTAGTTTTTTTTAATGTAGTGATGAAGCATGCACATTCTGGTTTTGTCCCCAGGAGGAGCTCTGTACAAAGTAGGCCTTAGTATAGCCCAGGGGCGAAGCGTCTATATAATCAAATAATCACTGCTTCCGTTTCTAATTTTGAAACATTGTCGCTGTCAAATTCATCCTTAAACGTAAACCTCATAAATTAAATGTCAAAAGACGTTCGTAATCAACAAATAAAGTGAGGCTGGAATAGAGTTGAAGGGAACATGTGCATGGCAGTCAAAGCTGTTTCATTGCCACATATACCCTGTTCACCCCTTTGGGGCCACAGTTAAAATCAATCACCAGCTCTGATTAAGTAAGCTAACTAACACTGGTCGAGTCTACCTCACAAATGTGAGGGGAACTAACTCTTAATAATCTCTTGACTGCTGCTTGTGCTTGTTTTTTTTCCTCGACTTTTTTTTTACCGTCCTATAATCAGATCGTGACCTCGATTATGACACCAGCTCCTGGCCGCGAAAGGCTAACAAAAACAGCCAAATGTGAAATTTAAAAAATAATAATTGTCATGTTCTACCAAAGAGTTAGACTCACTGGCAGATCTATAACATATAGATCTAGTACTGACATCTCTGCTTCTTTGCTTTATGTTTATGTATTCACATCTAAAGTTAAGTTTAATTTTAGTTGGAACTGATATTTAATAAGATACTTTCCCGATTATTTTGGCGGTCGAACATACAATATGAATTCCGGATTTGTTTTCATTCACAACTCAGAGTCGCCGCCTCGAGTAAGATTCTTGTGTGATATCTACAGGCCGTATCTGGTCCCATTTCACTTTGATTACCCTGTCAAACAAGTCAGCCTTCGCCCCTGGTATAGCCTATACTTTTCCTTTTACCAATTTAGGCCTGGTTAAAGTTCAGTAGTGGCTTTCCTTGGTCTGGGAGTCTATTTTTTTAATTTTTTAAATTTTAGGCTCAGGGGAAGGGGAAAAAACCCCTTCCGTGACCGGGATTCGATGCCACGCTTGGAAGCATTGAACATTAGACTTAGAGAACGTAGACAGTAGACAGCTTGTATACGTTCTCTAGGCCTAACTTAAAATTCGAGTTGCGCCGTCTTGTTATTGTTATCCAAGCGTCTTATTTCGACTTAAACTTGCTCAAACACTAACTCTAATGATTATGATTATGAGAGATGAACAAGACGTCTACTTTTGTGCAAACAATGTCAGAAACAATTGTTAGATCTAATCTAGATCTAGATTCTAGATCTACCCAATATTGATCGGAATAAGACAACGTCATATAAAAAGGAGTCAAATCCTAGGAGGTTTATAAAAAAACTGAGAAAGCTTCCACAATTCAGGCAGAACTACAATATTATCATGTAGAAACGATGGCTACTACATCTAGACTATAGATCTAGATTCTAGTACTGGCGTTTCAAATAGCACAGGAGCTATTCAGAACGCGGCGTTGCAAATAGCGCTTTCCTTATTGATAAAGGTGTGATATGGTGTTTTGAGGTTTTTCTTAAGATCAATCTAGCAGATTATATTCTAGGCTCCGCCGCATTCTGTTACCGTAACCATTTATTGAAAACGCATATTTGCAAGTAGATAGTTACAGTAGTCGAGTCTTTGCAAAAACAGTAAAGTTGCTGAGATGAGAATCGGGAGAGAATTTAAATTCAAAAGATGAGTATTTGACCTTCTACTTTAATTCACAATACACGATGTATATAATAATGATTATATAACGATAATAATACATACTTCATCTATCCCCAGGGGTCTGTTTTAGCACGATACACGGAGTCACAGTAGTGAACCCAAACATCGTCAAGAGGTACAAATTCGGCAGCAAGTACATGAAGCCAGACTTGTCCACTCTGGTGCCCAACGCTACGCCTGTGTGTCGGGGAAACAACATTGGTCACGTGATCTGTGACCTACTACACTGGGACGGCAGTTTGGTGAGCGACCCAAAAGTAATGTTACGGGGACACAAGACGGTTACGACAGTAAACAAATAAGCTTCTACGGCTGTCTGTTATTTCTTTATCATTGAGAGCTGTATATTCGGTAAAAGTAAACTATAATCCTTCATATCTTTGCGAACACTGGCAGACGCAGCAAGCTGTTTCTTGTTCCTTCAAGACACAGTAGAAACCCAACCGTTACCCCCACGATGATCCAAGATTTGTATACTAGGTCAAGCTACGGTGGATTTTATTTATTTTGTTTTGGTGTGTGTTTTGGGGGGGGGGGGGGGGGCAAGTTTACTGTTTCCAAATATTCTTATTCCGTTTCCTACTCGTAGAGACAAAACAGCCTACCCGTTGGAGAGCTTGAAATGACAACTACAATAATGACAAGAAACAAGGGCACGCTTTTGTTGCTGTATCTTAGTTACAAAATAATGCTCCTGATGTTACCTGAAAGACGAAATATTGGAAAATTTAGAAGATTATATGCAAATCTTTCGTAAGCATTATATACAAGACAAGCTGGGACCCCTTTCGATGAAAGGGATGATCGGTGCTTTAATATCAACTAAAAGTCATTCGCCTACTATATTAACACTCTACTGGAATGGGGAAATAAATCTTGAGAGATGCCAAAAATTAGAAGGTCTAGATCTATACTCCCAAAACAAAATGCGCTGCGCGAAATATCACTTCCGGATTTTTTAAAATTACAGAGACAGAAGCGTCGGCCTACAAAAGCGATTGGCGAAATAAACAAATTTAGTTTTTTGCAGCAAAACTGTCTCAAAACTGAAAAAACCAAGGGCGCCATGATCTGGAGAATATTTTAAAGAATTTTTTGGCGAAAACCGCATGTCGATCGATGCAGCCATTTAAAAGCCTTTTGAATAGCAAAATTCGGCCACCACAAATAGATAATATAGATTACGTATGTTAATATTTAAAAATAAATGCTGTGCAGCAACAACTACACTTTTCGGTGGCAAAGTTAGGTATTTTGAATGCATAAATTGTTTTAAGTATTGGTTTAGGGCAAGGACTACTATACTATAGTAGTCCTTGGTTTAGGTCTATTTTTTCGAAATGGCACACATTCGTAAATTTCACAAAATGTAAAGTATCTTGAATAGCGCTCTTCCCTTTTTGCATCATAGCTACACGTGAGGTGATAAACATGGGTATTCATCAGTCCATCACCCCCCCCCCCTCCCACACACACTTTTTCATTATTTCCAATAAATTATCGCACGTCCTCTATAGCATGCCCCCTCCCCCCTTTTTCCCCTCCCAAACAGGATGTATCCAGTCCTCGGACATGCGCACTGCTGCAATTGGACAAGCTCCTGAAGCTTGGTCTGACGCTGAAGTCTGGGATCGAGTTCAAGTTTACCATTAAAGGCCTCAAGAGTAAGGCGGACATGGAGAGGGAGAGTCGTTTTGCAGCCACCAGAGAAATCGGTGTCTATCAAGTGAGTGAGAGAGAGAGAGAGAGAGAGAGAGAGAGAGAGAGAGAGAGAGAGAGAGAG